GACGAGAGAGGTTGTATTGTCTATTAACTTACGGTGCCTAGCATCCACAAGTAAATTATAAAACGATAAAAAGTCTATTCCTATAATTGGTTTCGTAACATTAGCTATTACAAAACGCCAATTAAAAGCACGGCGTAGTCCGAAGTCCAGCACTAAATTCACCCAGCCGTAAGTAGCAATGGTAGACCCATTTGCTGCAAAAAGTTCATAGTTAGTCTTTAAAAGGCGCTTACTGCGTAGCATGCCAAGCGGATATACACACAGACCTGACCCGGTGTCCACTAAATAACACACTTTCGTCTTAATGTCCGTAACAAACAAGCGGCCGGAAGTATGGCAGTCGTTAGCCGCTGTCACTGACTGCCTTTGGTGTTTCCCGGTTGAGGACCGGAGAACTTACACGGCGATCTACACTTGTTAGCGGAGCTTCCGAACTTCCAGTGATACCAGCACTGGTCGTGGGTGGAGGCAGGACGGCTACGTGAACGTTTACGGTAACTAGAAGTACGCCTTCGTGATCTTGAACGCGCACGATGTATAGTCAGTGAAGCTACTTGACGAGATAGGTCATCTAAGCGACGTCTCAAATCGTCAAACTCAGATGGCGCTGCGATCGTCGATGTTGAAGCCACGTGTTGCACCTGCGGCGGGAACATGACCTCGTTGACCTTGTCCGCCAATTGTGCCACGGCGTCTAAACTGGTACCTGTCTGCGTTGCGATAATAGCCTGGATGTGATTAGGCAATCGGTTTGTCCAAAGTGCTAAATTTCTTAGATGCCGTAAGAACTGGGACGGTTTCCGGTCTCCCAGTTCTTCGTGCGCCAATAGTTGTCTAACCCGTTGTTCTTGGGATGCTGAAATTCTGGTTATAAGCTCGGTCTTAATTTTTTTATATTTGTTTTCAGACGGCGGGTTAGTAATTACGTCTTTCACCTCCATTACTATCTATAGTCTAAATTGGAGATCACATGATTGAACTTCGTATTATCTGCAGTAATATTTGCCAGTTGAAATTGTCCTTCTAATTGTGCGAACCACAACGCCTGTTCGTCCGGCCAAAATGGCGGTGCTTTTACACCGACGCGGCATACGCTCGATTCCGGCGGCGTCGGTGCCGATGCGTCAAATTTGCTATTGTTCATTTCGAAAATGGCGAATAGCGAAATAAAAGTCTTAGCACTGTCTTTACACTCGCGCGCGCGGGGTCACCAAATATATGTGGCAGATGGCGAATTAAACCACACATATACAGTTAATAGTTTATTGAAGGACACGTATAACAATAAATCAAACAACAATAATCGTATCGCGTAGTCGTGAACGGGGCGCAAGACGGGCAGCCTCTCGGCGTCGCGTAGCTAAACCGACTGACTAGCTGGAGAAAACCGAGTGCCCCTTGTAGCTGCGTTCGCGCCGCCGACTCTTTACGATAACGCCCGAGGCGGAGCGCGTCGTTTCTCCACACCTTTAAAGAATGGCAGAGCGTAGAAGACCAGAATGAATCCATAAAAGAAAGTAAGAGAGGGGCGTATAAAGAATGTAAGAAGAGAGCGAAGAAGGAAGTTGCTATTTGTAGGGCAGAGGCGCAAGATAAATTATATCGGTCCCTTGAAAGCCCCGAAGGTCAAAAACGACTTTTTCAAATTGCAAGAGCGAGAGAAAGGAATGGAAGAGATGTTTCACATGTAAAATTTATAAAAGATGATTCTGGAAGGATTTTGACTGACGATGAAAGTATAAAGAAGCGATGGAAAGAGTATTTTGAGAAATGATGAATGAGAGAATGATGGAATGGTATGCTGGAAAACCCACCAGTGAATATGGGCTTAGTGAGAGAAATTAGTGTGGAAGAAGTAAAAATGGCTGTTAGGAATATGAAGAATGGGAAGGCGGTCGGCCCAGATGGAATACCAGTAGAAGTGTGGAAGTTGCTGAATGCGGATGGATGGAAGTGGTTGTTGTTTATTTTTCGGTAATATACCTGGGGAATGGTGCAGTAGTATACTGGTCCCCATTTTTAAAAACAAAGGAGACGTTCAAAACTGCAGCAGTTACCGGGGAATAAAACTCATGTCACACACGATGAAAGTCTGGGAAAGAATAATAGAGAGAAGAATGAGAGAAGAGTGTGAGATAACACAAAACCAGTTCGGATTCATGCCCGGTCGAGGTACGACAGATGCCATTTTCGCATTACGCCAATTGTGCGAAAAGTACAAGCGCGTGCATAAAAATCTGCACATGGTTTTTGTCGACCTTTAAAAGGCGTACGATCGGGTTCCCCGTGAGGTTTTGTAGTGGGCGTTAAAGATGAAAGGTATGCCTGGGAAGTATGTGAGGTTAGTCCGTGCTATGTACAGAGCATCCCGTACATGTGTACGATCTGCCGCGGGAACTACGGGCAGTATCGGTGTGGCTGTAGGGCTGCACCAAGGGTCGGCATTGAGCCCTTACCTCTTCCTACTGATTATGGACGCTTTGACGTCGGACCTGCAGGATGAGGCACCCTGGTACATGCTCTTTGCCGATCGTGCTTGTCGGGGAAGAGGGCATCGAGGTACAGAGCAGACTGACGGGGTGGCAACAGAGGCTGGAAAGTGTTGGCTTGAAGATCAGCAGATCCAAAACCGAATATCTGTGCTGTGTTTTCGGCGGTCTTTCCAGTCCTGTACCCATGTCGTTGGATGGCGCTATACTGCCTACCTGCTCAGATTTCAAGTACATCGGCTCCCTCATTCAAGGCGACGGCGAAATAGATAGAGCTGTGCAGCATAGGATTAACGCAGGGTGGATGAAATGGCGACAGATCACAGCCACAACGTGCGATACCCGAATGCAAATAAGGCTGAAGAGGAAAATTTACAAATCGACCATCAGACCTGTCGTCATGTATGGAAGTGAATGCTGGGCCGTCAAGAAGAAGGATGAAAATAGATTGCATGCGAATGAAATGAGAATGTTACGATGGATGTGTGGTGTGACAAGGATGGAGTATATAAGAGGAAGCCTGAAAGTAGCGCCAGTGGTAGAAAAGGTGAGAGGAAGCAGATTGGCATGGTTTGGGCATGTGATGCGGAGGGATGAAAGTCATGTCACAAAACGAGTGTTGAATATGAATGTGGAGGGACACACGGGCAGAGGGAGGCCGAATAAAACATGGATCGATTGTGTGAAGAGTGATATGAGAATGAAAGGAGTAAGTATGGAAATGACGGCTGATAGAGAGGAATGGAACAAGAAAATTTACTGCGCCGACCCCAGATAATGGAAAATGGTTTAGAGAATGATGAGATACTTGGATGCACATTCCTATCCCTGTAAAATCTTTCGATATCGATATAACGAATAATTTATATACCCAAAACTAACCAGCTACCCATCCAGCGGGAAAAAGCTTGCCCTCCAAACTAGCTACGGTGACATACTGTCCTATCTGTCCTGTACATACAACTTTATAATTTGTGGCTATTGCCTTAACTCCAATTCCAACGCAATATCAAACACAATACGCTGCTGTCAACTAACTGTCAAAAGTGCGTCGGGAGTACCGATTTTGCTTGGACAATTTCAAATCTAATCTCAATTAGTTCACATAATCACCACGCAATAGCAAGCTAATTTAGCGTTAGAGTCGCTTTCAAGAGTACGAAACGTTATTATTTCAATCCCAATCGATCGGAATTGTTTTCAAGAGTAAGGCTGCAGAGTTGGATTTTGTAAGTTAGTTATCGTTTATCGATTATTTATTAAAAAGTACAATATACTATCCTAAATTAATGATCGTACACAAAAATACGATAATTTCTATGTTCAGAAACTATTATCAAAAATTTCCCACAAAAATCTTTTTATATACTGCAATATTAGATTCGGTATCATATTCATGGACGTAGATCCTAGTATGTTTTATGCTCGGAAATTTACTGAAATGTTTCTTAATTTTTTTTTTGTTTATTATATATTGTTAATTAATTTACTGTAATTTCTACCCTCCAGTTCACTCACTTTAGTTCTGTGGTTCTATTTCACCCCGCGATTAAGAAATAACTGATTCATTATATTCTTGAATTTCTTGACTTGCGGAGCCGAAGAGCAGTCTTAATGACGAGTGAAAGTGACAAAGATAAAACTTCGGCTTTCACGCTAAAAAAGAAGCGCCAAAGTACGAGGTGATTTGGTGAAAAAATAAAAGCACCGATTACAAAAATATAGTCAAGTGAAAAATGACTCTATAATTAGCAGGTGGCTTGCTCGTGACCATTTTGATATGTATATATATATATATATATATATATATATATATATATATATATATATATATATATATATATATATATATATAAAGTACGTTGTAAAGTATGTGAAACATCCATAATTGGTAAAAACAAAGTTCTAGAGAAACACTCTGATGGCTAAAACACTTGAAAATTTTATCTCTAATACATGGTTCCAAATCAATTACGTCTTATTTTGTAAGTACCAGTAGTTCGTTGTCGGAATCAAACACAAAAATATTGGCTGTTGCAGAGATCAAGCTGGTTGCTTATTTGGATGAACTACCCTTTTACGCTGCAGATCATCTGGGTAAACTACATGAGGAATGTTTCATAGAATCAAAGGTTCGCAAGAGAAATCAATCTGACTAGAAAAAAAGTACAAAAATAATATGCAATGTTATTGCTTCTAGTCATAAAACAGTTATGGTTGCTAACCTCAAAAATACAAACTGGGTACGGTGAAAGTTCTTGTAACGGAATCGGACTTGAAAATAAAAGATCTGTACAAAGATTTTCTAGTAAGCTACATGGACAGAAATTACGTTATCAGATCTCATTAAGAAACATTGATCCGGCAGATTTAAAACACCCTTTAAATAATGAACAACTATATCTATGAATTGCAGTTGCATTAAAAAATCATACACATAGGTGTAGAGATTTACTCGTTGAAGCTGCCTTACAAATACAGAAAAAATGGGATTACAACAATGCACCACTGATGAAAATATCCTGGGTAAAGGATAATCCTTCAATCCTACGCATTGCATTAGCATTTCCCAGGGTCATCAGCGTATATGACGTAAATACTTTACAAATTCTGGATGATCAATGGCGCAAATTACCACTTGCAAAAAATACCAGAAGAAATAAAACTGAAAAGAAAGTAAATGTATTTTGGGTTAAACTAAGTAAATGGAGTGATTTGAAAGAAAACCAGCCATACAGCGATATTGCCCAATTCGTATTGGATTGTCTAATGTTTCCACATGCAAACGCAGATTGCGAACGAATATTTAGCAAGATCAACCTTCCCAATTCAAGGACTCGGAATAGACTAGTAACACGAACTGTAGATGCAATCTTACTTTCATGCGATGTAATAAAGCGTAATAAAAGGGACAACTGCACCAATTCAGAACAGACAGAAGAAATGTTACCATGAATCAATGATAAAAGTAGTAAAAGTCTCTAGAACTACAATGTTATTCTAGTTAGTGTTGGCATTTGACGTTTGCAAACTTCAGAGTGCCGTGTAGTGGCGGTTGAGAATATCCACTACCCCACATCGTCCCGTAGGTGTCGTAAGAGGCGACAGAGGGACACGGAAAGGAGATGGGCAGCAGCATCTTCCTAATAATAACAATAACATAATAAAAAACTGCGGCTGCTAACCTGCTCGCCAAGCGTGGCAACTATAGCAAATATCCCCCCATGAGCAACGACACAAATAAACGGCCCCCAGTCCCCGGCGGCCCCGCTATTCCTGGCTACGGTGGCGACCATGATGACGGCGGGGCAGGGGGTGTTCAGAATCTCCAGTGGAGATTCGTTTGCCACCTACGACAACTCGACCTGGCAACGTATAACGCACGCACCCTGAGGACTGACGAGAAGATACTGGAGCTGGAAGAAGAGGTAGACAAGTTGCACTGGCATATTATTGGATTATCTGAGGTCCGAAGAGAGGGGGAGGACACGGTAATCCTCGAGTCCGGCAACTTGTTCTATCATCGGGAGGGCGACCATCTGTCCCAAGGAGGTGTCGGATTTATCGTCCACAAGTCTCTCGTCAACAACGTTGTAAAGATTGGGAGTGTGTCGTCGAGGGTCGCGTACCTGATACTCAGAATCACCAAACGGTATTCGCTGAAGGTCATACAGGTCTACGCACCAACCTCGGCACATCCCGATGAGGAGGTGGAGGAAATGTATGAGGATATTTCTAGAGCCATGCATTCCTCCAAAACCCACTACACGGTGTTGATGGGAGACTTCAACACAAAACTAGGCACAAGAGAAGGCGGTGAGCTGAAGTTAGGGAAATTTGGAGTAGGGCAACGGAACCGTAGGGGCCAGCAGCTGGCTGACTTTATGGAGAAAGAGGGACTCTTTATGATGAACTCTTTCTTCCAGAAGCGGCCCCACAGGAAGTGGACCTGGTCGAGCCCCGACGGTTCGACAAAAAATGAGATTGACTTCATTATGACGACCAGACGCCAACTGTTCAGTGATGTCTCAGTGATCGCAAGGGTGAAAACCGGCAGCGATCACCGAATGGTTAGCACACTGAACCTAAACGTTAAGTTGGAGAGGTCTCGTCTAATGAAGTCAACGCTCCGTCCCCCCTCGTGCTCTAATCCAGAATCTCGAATCTTTTCAGCTCGAGTTACGTAACCGCTTTCAGTGCCTAGAAGATTGCAATGACAAGCTCGTAGAAACTGTCCATGCGGTCGGAGCTAAGTTCTGCAAGACCCGCCGCAGAAGAACACAAAAACTCTCCGATCACACTCTTAATCTCATGGCTGTTAGACGGGAGATGAGGCTGCAATCGTCAACAGATTTGACAGCATACAGGCAACCGAACAGACAGATCTCCAAATGCATGCGGCAAGACTTACACAACTTTAATACTGCTCGTATTAAAGAAGCGATCGAGCGGAACCAGGGCTCCAAAGTCTTTGCCAGAGATCTGTCTGCCAGAAAGAGCCAACTGTCAAAGCTGAAGACTGAGTGTGGCAGCATCGTTTCCGGGATACCTGAGATTTTGAGTGAGATTGAGAGGTTCTATGGGCAGCTGTACACATCATCGTTGGAGCCACACGCAAGTGTGATTAACGATACAAGAGCAAGTCTTACCCGACACTATTCCGATGATATCCCGGACGTCAGTCTGAGCGAGATTAGAATGGCTCTCCAGCACCTTAAAAACGGCAGGGCCCCAGGCAAGGATGGAATTACAGCGGAGCTTCTGAAAGCGGGTGGAACACCGGTACTTGAAGTCCTTCAATTCCGTCCTCCATGGTGGCACTACTCCGGAGGCATGGAGCAGAAGTGCGGTGGTCTTGTTCTTCAAGACAACCGGCGACAACGCTCTCTTGAAGAACTACAGACCTATTTCCCTTCTGAGCCGCGTCTACGTGCTGTTTTCGAGAGTCATTACGAATCGTCTCACACGCAGACTCGACGACTTCCAGCCTCCCGAACAAGCCAGTTTCCGAAAAGGCTTCAGTACCATAGACCACATACATACCCTGCGGCAGATTGTACAGAAGACCGAGGAGTACAACAGCCACTTTGCCTGGCGTTTGTGGACTATGAGAAAGCCTTTGATTCCGTCGAAATTTGGGCGGTACTACAGTCCCTTCAGCGGTGCCAAGTTGACTGTCGGTATATCGAGGTGCTAAAGTGTTTGTACAGTAGGGCTACGATGGCTATCCGAGTACAGAACCAGAGTTCGAAACCTATCCAACTGCAGAGAGGTGTAAGACAGGGTGACGTTATATCCCCGAAACTCTTCACCGCTGCGTTGGAAGACGTTTTCAAGCTACTGGACTGGAAAGGATACGGTATTAACATCAATGGCGAGTACATCACTCACCATCGATTTGCCGACGATATAGTCCTTATGGCAGAATCGCTGGAGGACCTTAGCACTATGCTCAATGACCTCAATGGTGTCTGTTGGCGCAACCAACAAACCTTTTATCGTACCATGCCCACAGTGACGTCACGCATACATACGTCACACACATGCCACCACTCCGTTCGGGCGTCAGACTGCACCGTACAACCGTAGCGGCAACACGTTTCTTACATCTTTATTTGTCATATACGACATTGTAAATATAGTTATTAAATCAAGTTATTAGTACTATCCTGGTCTTCTTTATTGACGATCCTGCGATCCTGGTCTGGAGAGAGCTTACCTGAGGAGTACACCCAACAAATTGGCGACCGTGAACTTCTGTAGCTACGTGGACGCGTAGTACGAACCTGCATACTGAGGAGAACAAAGGAATGCGCACTGCACTGCTGTTAGAACCAAGAACTGGAGACTATCAAGAAGATACCTACCAGCCAGTGTTATTTGAACCACGACAAGTGTTAATTATTGTGCCGCAAGAGGATTTTAAAACAAAAGGGAGGTTTGCCCGTTCCTTATTTTCCTAGTTTAACTGTGCTAGCCCTGTAAAGCTTCGTTTGTGCGAGCAGATCTCATATTTTTCTAATTAATTCAAATATATAAGCAAATTAAAATCAGCTGCCTAGCTAATTTCAGAACTTTAATTCTCACTCCATAATTATCTACAAAGTAAAAATAAATATTCAATGCATTTATGGATTTAATTTATGAACTATTTTAGGTTTTCTGGTGCTAAATCTTAAAAGTTAACTGCTTAAAGATAAGAGTTAAAGATTGCATCAGTCCGTTTACGTAATCACCGTTAGCTAGCTACCTACTTTTTCTGAGCGCATCGATCGCATAATTGCATTCTTTTATTATTTCGCTCGATCCTTCTTATCTCTCGCTTCTCTTATCGCATCAGTACGATACAAGTAGGCAAATAGTTAGTTTTTATAAGGTAACTAATAGTTGTCCGGCCGAATATTCCAGTGTGCTGTCCGCTGCGCATGCGCCGATCCACGTCGCCTGCGCTGAGCGTTTATTGTTCTGCGGTATCCCCGGTCTCGGCGCACAGCTGTTTCATATAAAAAAGGCAAGCCTACGTATCGAGGTATTTATTGCAATCTATTTTACATACTAATCTTGTTTGTTTGCATAATGACTGACACAGAGTTAAAAGCGAAGAGGGCATCTATTAAGGGGCGATTAACTTCATTTAGGAATTATTTAGAGGAGTTTAAAAGGCATAGGCAGGGAAATTTAAATGAGTTAAAATTACGATTACGGAAAGCGGACACATTGTTTGAAGACTATGATAAAATTCAAACTCAAATTGAGGTTAATGAGGCGAAGTCAGGCAAACCCGCCGAGGAGCAAGTGGAATTTAGCGAGCGGGAAAATACGGAAAAATTGTTTTTTATCGCGATGAGTAGTGCTCAGGAGTTGATCGCAGCTAATGAGCCTCGCTCCTCGGAGGCCACGGAATTTGATGGTGGGAAGGACGCGCGCTCGTCCCACAGTGTGGCTGACGCCGGCGTTAGGCTTCCGACCATCAAGCTGCCTACATTTGATGGCAGTACAAACAAATGGTTAGAATTTCGCGATGTGTACCTGTCAATTGTGCACAATAATGACAATCTCAGTGATATTTGCAAGTATCAATATTTAAAAGCATCCTTATTAGGAAGCGCAGCGTCTGTTATTGAATCATTGGAAATATCGGCGGCAAATTACGAAGCGGCCTGGAAACTCGTTAGCGGTAGATTCGATAACAAACATCAGCTGATTCATACTCACCTTAAGTCATTGTTTGATATGTCTTTTATTGGAAGGGAGTCTGATAAATCATTGCGTTTCTTAATTGACCATGTGTCGAAACATTTGAGGGCTTTAAGTAGTTTAGGTGAAAAGGTTGATAACTGGGACACGCTCATTATATTTATGTTCGCGAACAAATTAGATACTGCAACCAGTACGAAATGGGAGGAGTATAGGAATAGTTTAACCGAGAATCCCACTTTAGAAAACTTTTATGAGTTTTTGCGACAAAGGGCCGATGTTTTGGAAATGATAAGTGCAAGCACTAGCACTAGAGACAAGCCTGACAAACAAGTTGCGTATAAACGAATGGATAAGGTTCAAAAGGCATTTGTCGCGACGGCAAGCGAGTCCAACACGTCGAGCCACTTAAACGTAAATAATGCACGAGTTTGCCGCATATGTAGTGGGGATCATTTCTTATATAATTGTGAAAAATTTAACCAAATGTCAGTGGACGAAAGAAATACTTTAATAAGAAAATTAAAGATTTGTATGAACTGTTTCCGAGGTGGGCATTATTCCCACCAATGTAAATCGAGTCCATGTGCTATATGTAGACGTAAACACAATACTCTGCTGCATAAAACAATGACATCCAGTCCTCAGAAAAGTGTAGAAAGCAAGGAGTCTGTGTCTACGCCTATATCGTTTTCAGCCAGCGTTGAAAATCAGGTATTACTATCAACTGCAATAATTTCAATAAAAAATGTAAACAC